GATTAATCTACCAACTAACTGTAGGACCTCAGGTTATTCACAGCCTCCAAGTCCTCACTTTTCTCATCTATAAAATAAGAGGTAGCATATCCCCAAATGCGGGGCACATAGCATTGCTGGTACTTTAGTTTCTTGCTCCTCCAAGAGTGGTTCAAGAACCAGCAGCACCAGAATCACTGAGATTGTGTCAGAAATGCAAGTCTTTGAGTCCCATCCAGACCTGCTAATTCCAATCCTACACATTTAGCAAGATCCTCAGATGATTTCTATGCACATTAAAGTTAGGAGAAATACTGCCTTAGATGGTAGTAGGCACTAAATGGCCTATAATCACAGAGTTAGGAAGTTAATCCTTTTCCACTTATCTTTCAAATCTGATTACTTCATGGAGAAAGTCTCAGTTTGATGCCAATATGTCTTTAATACCGCTCTCACAGTTGCTGATTTTCTGTTTTAATAAGGAGAAAGTAAGCCTCAAATTATCTGGCAGGCAATAGTATTTAGCTTGACTATAATAGTACTGTTTTATTTTTACTGTGTTTATTTAAATAGTTACCTTTGGCAATGGATACCAGTTTTCTATTTAAAATAGTGTTAGAAACCTGTTTAAAACAAATTTATTTAAGTAGAGATGTGAATGGAGCAAAAGAAAGCATGTAAAAAATGTGAGGAAGTGTTTGCTTTAATGTTTCCTTCCATGTTAGGAACACCATTGGTCTGACACTCCTGACTTCTCTCCACAGCTTTATCATTAAGCAACTTTATTCATTCTGCATGGGGTGGGGATAGTATGGGGGGTTGCTGTATTTCTTTGTAAATTTGGGAGGCATAAAATGAACATGCTCAGATCAGCACCCCCTTTCTTCCTCTTGGTATTTAGATAGTCAAATGATAACTCATTGATAATTTAGCTTATATATAGGTAGGAACCTAACAGCAGGTTACTTTTTTTTTTTAATTAATTTATTTACTTTTAAAATACATTTGTCTCTGCCTTCCCCCGACCTCTTTCCTTTGCCCCCTCCCACCTTCCCTCCCTCAGCTCTTCCCCTTTGGTTTTGTCCATGAGTCCTTGCTATATGTTCCTTGACTTTCCCCTTCCCTTCCCTTTCCCTGCCCCCCACTTCCCTCTTGTCTCTGTTGATTTCTTTTCCTTTCAGTGTTGCTGGTCATATTTTCCTTGCTTCTTTGCATTGTTGGTTAGGTTCCGCTTATAGGTGAGATCATATGGTATTTGTCTTTCGCCCCCTGGCTTATTTCGCTTAGCATGATGCTCTCCAGTTCCATCCATGAACAGCAGGTTACTTATTCAATATATCTTGATTGTGTGCCTGTGATATGCTGGGATCTGGTTCTGTGTCTTCTCCTGCTGCTCAGAACCGCCTTTCCCTTTAAAGGGCTCTGGACCGGACCCTGGCCAGGCTGTTGCAGTATCTTTGGTTTCTCAGGTTCTGAATCTTCTCAGAGACAAAAATCAGGTGTATTGATGAGCTGGGAATTCTTCTAGAAGAAAGCATAAATACCCATCATCATGAATCATGAGACAAAAACAGGTAATTGTTTCTAAGGCATCTGGCCAATGCCCTCATGACATAACCCTTAATCCATCCAAGAAGGTCAATCATGAATGATTTTAGTGATTACCCTGCAAATGACAGGCTTGGGGCAAAAGGCCTTAGGTAAGAGGGCACTGCCCCTTCTTTGGAAAGTAACGACTTTTCTGTCTGGTCTTTACATTTGCTTTTGTCAGTTTTCCACCGCACAAGTAAAATGGTGCCTCTTCACCCTTTATTATATTACTCTATTTTGTTTTGATCAGATACTTTTCTCCAGTTATTTGTTTACTTTTTTAGGATCTGACTCATTCCACTAGTCTGTAAACTCAAGGAGAGCAGGAACCATTTCTGTATTGTTTACGGCTGTTTCTCAAGTGTCTAGAACATGGTGAATAAATGAATGAAAACTCCATATTCCAATTGTTGGAACATAAAAATTGGGATGTGTACTTTCAAGATCTAATTAGCAGTCACTCTGTGGTGTCATTGCTTAACCTTGAAACTGAGATATGCATCAGTTGTTGCTCTTGTGTGTATGTGTCTAAACATTCAACTACATTTTTATCTACTGCATTTCTATTAATTGGTTTGTGAATGCTCTAGCAACAACTGGAAAGTGTCCACAGTGGTAACAGTCAACAGGCAAAAGATAAGAGCTTACAAGTAAAGGGGTAGAATCCAAGGGAATATTATCAAGAAATCATTGTTAAGGTGTAACTTTCTACTGTAATCTATCCAAGATCTGTTCCCTTTTCTGCTCTTTGCTCTCTTTTCTGCTCTTTGCTGTGTAAAGTTGACTTGGGCATTTAAATCTAATTCAAAAAAATTATTCAGTGTCTCAGAGCAATTTCTAGTGAAACTGTCCAAAATATACTCATTTGGGTAACTGCACCATTTTTTTAGGCAAAAATTAAATTATTTCATGCTTACTCTTCCATTTCTCATGTTTTCTCACAACAACACTGGGGTGGCTAGGAGTCAGAGGCAGCATTTTACCAGTCTGCACAATTTTTTTTTTAATGATATGTATAGAACCATGGGTTGGCACTTTCTGGTCTCCCTGCATATAAAGAGACCTAGACTGAAAAGTTATAAGGACTATTGCAAAGAAGTAAACCAGGAAACTGGACTGGAATCTGCTTTAGGGTGGGAGAAGCTCCTCAGGAGTTCCTGGCTTGTGTGCAGATTTCACTGGATCTACTGGAAGTGGATTGGATTTAAGCCAATTCCACTGGGTCTACTGGCATTTCACCATTCCAGGTATTGATGAGTAACCAGGAATTGCTGTTTTGATGCTAAATATTTTTCTTGAAATCAAACCCATTTTGAATTTGAACCCAAATCAATTTTAACTAGCAAAGGCAGAAAAGTCTAAACTCCACTGTCCTGAAATATAGACACAAACTAATCTCAGATATTAAATACTCATAACCACTGTGATCGTGGCTGGTGCTGTTCTAAAACTGAAAGACAAGAAAAAAATTATATTTAATATAGAAATCCATCACAGAAGATAGTGAAAATTCAAAAATACAGCGTTCACAACACTATACCCATTGTATTACATGCACACACACAGGCTTACAGAAATACACTGACATTTTAGTAGCTACTCATTCCATGACAAATCCCATCTTCCCATCCCTTCATGTCCATAATGCATCTGGAAAGAATAAATTTAAGGTTTTCTTCAGTCTACAATACTAATAGTTTACATCTGTTTACTCTTTACCTTTCACGGTGTGGTTCCTCATACATTATTTCATTTTAACATTACAACTCTCTTACGGAAATGGTAGGTAGACATTCTATTCCCATTTTAAAGATGAGACTCTGAGAGCTTGAGTTTTTTACCAAAGATTTTAGAATAAGTAACCGGCAGAGCCTGAACTATGCCTCCAAATTTCTAATTCTTCAACTCTATGCAATGTTTCACAGCTTCTAGGGTCTGATATACCTTCTTCCTGTGAGATTCTCATACATTTAAATTAAGAGGATATGACAAGACTTCAGGCCTAGTTGCTGGTCCAAAGCGGTAATAAGCTTGAACTAAATCATCTTGCCAAGACTGTCCTAGCACTGATCAATCATTTTTCTGGGGACAACCCAGGGCCTCTGAGCTAGAACCCATAGCCTAGTGGTAGATTTGAACTGCTCTATCATAGGAAAGAAGTATCAGTCAGCCAGCATTCTTCTCAAACACAAGCCCAGTGAATTTGTTTCAAGGGCAGGGAGTTACATTTCATTAGCTCCTATATATCTTAAGGGCTTGGACCACAGATGCAAGAATTCATGTAAGTACTTTCCATCTAAATCAGACTACTCGATGCATGTTAAATAATTCATTCTCTGTTGAGGCCAAACATGTCTGAGTTGGTACCATTTAGTTCTCATCTTTTTAATTTATAACATAGCTCTGGGATATTCATCTTAACAGAACCAATGGAAAATATGAGCTTTGTGCCTTTCCTGTTCCCACTCAAACTGGTTATCTGCCTAGTCTGACCTCACAGATACCTCTTTCCAAGTTTACAAAAGATACCTCTGTTCCACAGACACAAATCACAACCGTCTTATTTTCTGAGATTTATCGTAACAGAGGCAGGGGAAGAACTCTCACTTACTGAGTTCCCAATATGTAATACTCAGCACCGGGCTAGGCAATGTCAAGTTCATTATCATTTCTAATTCCCTAACAGTCTTGGGAGGTGGTCATTTTCCCAGGGACAGAAGAATAGCTAGGGGAAGTGAAATAACCCAAGTTCACACGGACTGGAAGACTCACACGGAATTCCTGGTGGGTCTTCACATCTCAAATCCAGTTATAAGATGTTGAGAATCCCAAGACAAACTTGGCCTACTTTAGCTTTGAAGGAGAGGGTCTTGATTTTGGGGGGAGGAGAGAAAAAGTCAGTCTCTCCCATCTTTTCTCTCCAACAATGCCGGAGGAGGTGGAAGAAATATAAGAGCAGCAGGGGCTTGGGGAGGAGGGGATAAGCTTTCCGAGGGCAGGAAGCAGGTCTGAGTAGCCAGCTTTCCTCAGTGCCGAGTCCAGCAGAGGCGGGGCTGCTGACAGACGCCTTCTTAACGCACTGCCACTGCAGTCTTGCCTGTTCCTGCTTTCCCAGGGCAGGGGACTGCTCCCATCTCTGGCCCCCTCGGTCTCTGGACAGCCTGAGATACTTCAAGCCCCACCCCCGCCGGGTGGCTCAGTGGGCCAGGAAGGCGTTTAGAACGGCAGATTGCTCGCGTGTGTTTGTTGTGCGTGCGTGTGTGATGGAGGTGGGGGGTCGTCTGGTGAGAGGCTTGGGCTGAGTGATGTGAGGGGTTGACCAGCCCACGTGACTTCAGGAAGGCGGAGACAGGCGAGTTGGAGGGTTGACAGACAGGCCTCAGGCGGGAGGGGGGTGGTATCTGAATAATTGAGGAGCTGTTCTGCAGCAGCGGCCACCTCTCGCTTCCTGGGCCACCAGCACCCCGCACGCAGTGGGAGAGAGAGTCGGGCGCTCCAAGTGCGGGCGGCCAGCCCCCAGTCCGGCAGTCCGTTCCTCGCCGCCAGCCCTCCGGTGAGTGCAAGTCCCCCTTCGCCGCAGTCTGTCCGCCACCGCGCCCCCTGCATCCCCGCTGGACCTCCGCAAATGGGATGATCGCCTTTGGCCGAATGAGTCCGGGAGCCGGAGCCTCCGGGAGGGAGGAAACAGGAACATGGCGCGGAGGCTGAGAGCGCCCCACGGGAAGGGGTGCCCTGGAAGAAGCTAGGAGCTGGGTTGGGGTATCTCGCAGGCTCTGACCCGGAACGGGGCCCGGGCAGCGTCCAGCGTCTGGGGACGCCGGGCTCCGACTCGCGGGAGCTGCCAGGCGGGGCTGGGGCAAATGCAGCCTCCGCGCCGCCGGAGCGAGAGGCAAAGGAGGGAGCCGCGAGCAACGTTCGGGCCACCCGGGTCCCCGAGAAGGACGGGCCCCTCTTATCCTCCGCGTTTTGGCACCCGGCTCCCGCATCTCGGTTCTCGGCCTCTCAGTGAGCCCACGGAAAGGGAGAGACGCTTTTCCGGCCGCAGCCCGAGGGGAGGGCGGGACAATGTCTGCCCTTTTTTACCTGGGAGCAAACTCTTCAAAGGGACTCCAGCTGAGCAGGGTGTGCCGACCAGGCCGGTGCGCTCCCTGGGGCATCTGTCCCCAGGGAGCGGTGACCGTCCCCCCTCCCCGGGAAGGCGAGAAGGACATGATGGGAGAGTGTCCGGGGAGGCTCCCTAGCCTGTGTGTGGGGTGCAGGGGTGGGGGGGCCGGACAGCCTCGGGAAAGGTTTCTCACTCGCACTTATTACCTTGTCAGAGCCTCCTCTCTTCCCCATCCTAAAGCTCATCAGTTTCCTACGCACCCAGAGGGCCCGAGTAGCGCAAGGTGGCCTGGCGGGAGGCAGCCCGAACTCCTTCTCCCTCCTGAGCCCCCGGCCCTAGTGTGTATTTTATGTCATGATTGAAGAGTAAGATAGAAGTCACCAAATGCCTAGAAGGGAAAGGAAGGCCAAGGGAAATTGCGGGGGAAAGCTGGAGCAGCAAGCTTGCTCCTGGCCCTCCTGACCCCGCTCCCTGTTCAAAGCTTGTTTCATCGAGGTCTGGAACCGAAGGGTGCAAAGGAACCGGCTCTGGCGAAGGGATTCTCGCAGAACTATGGAGCCTGTCACTGGTCGAAGTTGGCCAAGGACCACAAAATGATAACTCGCCCCACCCCTCCCCCGCCTCCCTGGGGTCAGGGGTCCTGGAAAACGCCCGGGCCGAGAGCTGCGCGCGGGCCTGGAGCTGTCCGCGGTGCTGAAAGTTCTCCGAGGCGGGGAGCTTACTCCGCGCGAGAACTGGCGGCTCACGCTTTGCCAGCATTTCCTGCAGGCAGAAACTGCGTTAGAACCTAGTAAAAGGGGTCAGGTGGAGCAAGCGACGAAGAGAGACGGTGTTCTAGTCTCCTTCGGGTAGAGAGGAGCAAGGGGCGGGTGCCTCTCCAGGACCCAGCTTAGAGAACTTCGGGTGGGCCTGAGACAGGCGGTGTGCCTCGTTCTCTTTCCGCTGCCTGCGCAGTGAGTCTTTCTGTTGGGGAAGTGGTGGAAAAGCAGTTAGGGGTGCTATTCTAGTAAACACTTCCATGGCTTCATTAACGGAGAGACTGGGCTGTCTATTCCTGGCTTAAGATGGCTTTTTCCTCTGTTCCATCCCTCCCCACCTCAGGCTGTTTACATTCTCTAGATTAGATCTCTAAGCATCCCTGTGTGTTTGTTTCTTTGACTAGTCTGTTATACTATGGGTAAGATGAGAAAAGAACTAAGCCAATTTTGGGAGGCAAAGTGAAGAGAGTATGAACAGTTACTCTCTGCAGGGTAGTATTATCTCATGTAAACTTCATAAACTGCTAACCATAAGAATCCCAAAGATTAAAAAAAACCAAAACCCTAAAGTTAGGTATCTCAAATCCAGGGCTTGGACTAGAATTCAGGTCTGCTTAACTCCAAAGTTCAAGTTATTTTTCAAGCCTTCATTTTGGCATTTGGCTTTGGATAGATGTTATTGGGAAATATAGCAAGAGAATGTCAAAAGAGAAAAGACTCCTTTCTTTTTCACACACACCACTCTCTTCCAACCTTGTCCTTTTTAATCTGTTCACCCACCCACGACCACTCACTCCCACCATACCAGCTGCTTTTGTGCATGCTGCTTGCGATAACACCGCTCACACAACTTGAGCTCCAAGGTTACAAAAACACGTTAAAGGACTAAAACAGCAGGCTTGCCTGGGAGAACAACAGAGCTTCAGGGAATCTGGGAGACTAGAGCCCCAAGGTGTTTTCATATTCAGAGTTACACTCCTAAGTTTTAGGGCAATAGTAACCTGAGGGTCATCCAGCACTGTTATTTTACAAGAAGAAGTATTTGAGGACCAAAAGATGGTCTCTCGTTTGTCATGTAAATGTTGGGAATGGAACCTAGTTGACTTGATTCCAGGGCCAGTGCCCTTTCCACTAGACTCCTGGTGCTTCAAATGCCCTTTCATGCTGCCTTCTTTGACTGTCTTTAACAAGAACACCACCATCAGTGAATTATATCAGTAATATATCCAAAACACAAACATCTAAACTATAGGCATTCCTCTTAACTATTTTTTTCTTTCTTTTTTCCCTTCTGGTTTCACTATTTCAGTGTTGCCTGACCCAATGTACCTGAGACGCTTGAACCACTTTTCTCATAACAGTTCTCCTGGTGACAGCAGTTCATAAATGGGGATGACAGGGTGGCGCTTCTCTGCTTGCCTTTACGTTGATTATATTTCCTCTTCTATAGTCTATTCCCAAAAAATAATTTTTCCAAAATGATTTTGGAAAAATAATTTAAGCGTCTTCCTATGTTCTTGGAAGACCCTTAAAAAGATGTAGACAGAAATAAATAATCATTATAAGTTCTAATATCTGTCAGGTGTTAACCACATGTTAGGTATTATGTTTTTTCATAAATCATTTTATTGAATCTTCAGTTCTATCAAGTAGATAATTCCATTGGAGGTAGTCCTAGAGCTCTAGTCCACTCTCACATACAGCAGAACCTGATGTTCTATTCATTTCTTTTTGCTTCTATTCCTGCCTATAGTAAAATCTCATCTTCTTTAATTGAATTTTTGTAGCACTAATAATTGCATTAGCAAGGAGGAAAATTTTATATTGAATTGGATAGTTCTATTCTGCTTCAAATATGTACAGTTCAGAAATTCAAATTCAATTCAAATAGTACTGTTCTGCTTTTTTTTTCTCTTAATATTTAGTGCAACATACCCCTCTCACTTGTTACCCTTTACTTAAAGATCCCCATATGCCTTTTAATTCTAATGCCAACATTCTGCTTCAGCCCCTCTCTAGAATCAATTATGGCATAATTCATAATTAAATACTTAAATTCTATTGGGCCCTCACTGGGTGATCTTGCAGGGATGCTATTACTGGGATCTTCTGGGCACTGTGAACCAGAATCTTCAGTTATCCAGATCTACTGCATTCCATATGGTAGTCACTAGCCACATGTAACTAAAAATTCAGTGCCTTAATCACACTAGTAATATTTTAAGCTTTCAATAACTATATATGGCTAATGGTTACCTTATTGGACAGTGTAGATGTAGAATATTTCCAGCATTGCAGAAAGTTCTATTGAACAATGTTGCTTTAAAAAGTGCTAAAAACATCCTCACAGCAATTGAGAACTTGGAATTGGGTAAAAGATGGAAGCTTTGCTTTGAAACTTCTGCCAAGGAAGGAAAAAAAGACAGTTGTACATAGAACACTCCCAGAAGCCCAAAGATGTTCAAGACAAAAGGGTAGCAAAGAGTGTACATGTCTCACTGAAGGAGCTGGTGACCTCTGAGGTTTGCTTCATATGGATTTTGTTTTACCAATAGAGTAAAATGTTCCATATATGGGTCTTGCTAGTTTTCTGAATTCCAACTTAGAAATAGCCTGAAAGTTCTATATAGAATGCAAGTTCATATGTATAATTATATATGATTATATATAATCATATAGATATGTAATAACTTGTAATATGTATTTTGTCTTAGCATAAGTATAGTATGATCAATATGGAAAGAACACAGGACTTGAAGTTAATACTAAGTGTGCTGCTTGCTACTTGTTGACATTATAAGGCCCCATAGAGCTCAATTTCTTCATTTGTAAAATGGTGATAAGAAATGATACCTACCTCAAAGGGCTACAATAAGACTCAACATATAGGTATATGAAGGTACATTGTAAGGAGCGTGACTGAATCTGTAATGGTTAATAATTTCATGTAAATAGTATAGCAGAGTATATTACTATAATAAACAAATAGGATAGTTTTAACTAAATGCATTTGTGAATATTTTTAATTCCTCATATAAGGGTATTTTGCTTTTGTTGTCATTTTTTCGGTGAAAAGTAGAATGCCAAAGAAAAAAACTGTTTGCGTTGTTGAGATTTCTATTTGGTTAGTTTCTGTGAATTGAAATATTGTTTGTGGTTTAGTTTATTTGTTCCTGAACATTCCCTTTAGGATAAGAAAAAAATCACTAGGATGTCTTAGTGGTTCTAAAACAGATTTACCTTTTAAATAATAGTTTTAAATCAACTGTCAATAATTATTCTGTCATAGTAATAGGAGTTTAGAGAAAACAAAAAATGTGTTATGGATATTCCTCAGTATGAGTGGGTAAGGGAGATCATTTAAAGGAATATTTTTACTAATTACTAATTGAAATGAGCTTCTACCCATCCCTTGAGTATGGCGAAGGGCTCTAGATTCTATCTCTAGTTCCAGGAGCTCTGGTAGATCATTTCCTTTCTTAGGAACCTAGTTTGCCTTTAGTTGATATATACTCTGAGCCTCGATGCTGTTCAAGCATATCATTCTCAGGCCTTTGTTGCATATGGAATTATATTACTAAAGGGAAAATTAGTGAGCTTGTCAACTCTGGCCTCTAGTGGATCATGCTGGCTTTAATAACAAACAGCTTTTGTTGGGAGTCATGGTTTATTTATTTCATGAAACTTGTT